AAGTCAATTAAAATATTTTTAATAAAGTTTTCCATTCGATACAACTAACAATCAAAATGGAAAAATGGTCTGTTTCCTCATGAACTAAGTTGTTTTTGATTATGCCAAAGCACACATGAACTAGCTTTATTTTTGAATTTTATTATGTTATATTTTTTAAAGCGGTTATTTCCTACAAACCATAAACAGACGATGACGTGGATTACATGTTACAAACGGGTTAGTTCCGATTTAAATTTATAGATTTTATTTATTTTTTAACTGGGAAATGCATAAAACGACGTCGTTACTTTTAATTGGTAAGATATTCTTTTTGCTATAAATAATCGAATGCCTAATGTTTGATTAAACCCAACAAATCGATAAATTGTCAACGTGACATTAAAGAGAGGCATCCAAGTGGAAAATGTTTGTTTCTAAATCGAGACTAAAAGGAGGCACAATAGAGGATGGATTCAAGGCATCTAAACACATAACCGTCATTCCAAAACACTATCACATTGTCAAGTATAAACGACAACTAAACCTTCAAACAACTTCAGAAACACATGACTTTTGGATGCTAGCATTACCACTCAGCTTTTCCAGCCCAAGGTGAAGTTTTTTTACTACTCGATCTTGTTTTTGGTAAGCCAATAACATACAAAGTTCATTAACCGATTGACAAAAAATCATATCTACTCAGAACAAGATAAAAGACAACACTTCACTAACCAACTCTGAATAGATCTCATAGTTTAAGAATAAAAATACTGACTTTTATCTCTGTGCTCCTGCAACTTTAACTAATCAGCTCCTATATATGAGGACTATTAACTATAGTGAGTGTTTATTTATTGAGACCCAAGTTTGTCTCTGGTTGTGTTTGGAAATCTAGGTTCTGAGCTCTAGCCAGTGGCAACGTATCAAAGAGTATAGGGCGCACAAAGTGGAAATGAACATACTTGCACAAGAATAAAGATACTTGCACAAAAAATGAACTGAAGCTTAGAGAGAAAAATCTAGATATCAAAGGAATTTGACAAGAGTTTCAAATACATAGTTTTCAATTAAAAAGAAGCAACTGATGCTTAAGTGTATAGATGTGGTAAGCGGATAGATAGTAAACATTCGACTCTTATCAACCATCAAGAAGTCTTTATTCTCAAGTAGTGGCTCTGAGACGTGGAGGAGCTAGTGGCTGAGCTTGGTCCGATGGAAATTCGAACCTTCTTGATCAAGTTTCATGACCACATTGAAATGGTTGGAGAAAAAAAGGCAACAAAATAGGACTTATTGATCAAGCTACGTAGCTCACTACGGAAATCTTGATATGGTTAAAGACCATTACAAAAATATCGTCATGGTTTGACTGCAAATGTTTTTTTGGTGTTTGAAATATATAAAATATATCGTCATAATAAAAGAATAAAGACTCTTAACGAAAATTAGGGTATGACCTTAAGACAATTAAGGAAAGTTCCTTTTATTCAAACTTCCAGAGATCGAAGAGTTTTTAATGAATTCTTCTATAATCACGACATTTGGCAAAACATCACAAAAGAAATCCCAACTTCGGGTCATAACAAAGTAAAACGCATAAATTTGTATAACTCATTTGCCTACACTTCTACAAAAGAGAAGTAGTTCCTGTTTTTGGCTTTAAAAGTACATTTTTTAGAAAATACCTACCATGCACTCATCATAGTTGATTTCAATGAGGAACGTGTATGATAATATATCAAATGTGACATTTTCTCATTTCTCTATTCCATTGGCCAACTCAAAAAATTTTTAGCAGCCGTGACCACCAAGTCTGACTGGGTCCCAAGTTTGGCTATGGGACGTTTCACGTTTGAGGTAATCCACTACTACAAGTGACGGTTTATGGTACAAGCAGAATTTTCGAGCTATTATATATGGATTATGTCATAAGTGTTGATTCTTGCACTACAATTTTATGGGAGTTCAATTAGTGTCCTAGAGTTTGAAATCAAGGAAGCATGCAATAAGCTTACTTTAAAGGTTTGCCAAATCAAATGTTAATCTTTGTCGGGCGGTCCATGTTTCAAACCCGAGCTTCAAGGGCTATGATAATCAGCTCATACGTTTGGTCCTGATATTGAAAGAACCCGTTATCCCGATTTCACCGAGTAAATGGCAATTGTGGTATTGTGCTTACTAAATTAAATATTTTAAATTTCCTGGAAGTTTCTAAGTTTCGAATTAACGGGACATCTAGAGTTTCTCAAGCTAACCATTTCTACTTCTGGAAATTATAAAAATTGGAGGTAAAAAGATAGCAATTTTTGTAAATTGAATTGTTTATTGAATTCGTTTCTTCTGCAAGAGATAACATTAGTTGATTTTAGAAAATTTTGGAAAATTTTATAGTCAATCAATAATATAGTCAAGATTATACAACGGTAACAAATAATTTCAGGATACTCTAAATTATAAAAAATAATTTCAGAATACTCTAAAATATAAAATAACAAACCAGCCTATGTATTTTAATCTTAATAGAAATATTTTGAAAGTAAAATTTAATTTATTTGACAACAACAATTTTTATTTACTCAATTCTCAACTTAATATTTCATTTCATTAAGTAAATGAAAAATATTTCTAAAGTACACATTAACAAATTTCGAAATTGCTCTATTTAACAATCTGACGCACCGACAACTTTTTGTTAGTTCATTAGGAGATGCAACGATAGATTTTAGAAGTTGCCAATGATCAGTGAAAAACGCAGGTGGCAGTTGGTAGTCGCTGGATTTTTTTTTGCGTCGGTCAAATCACTAGCATGGAGTCGCAACGACAGGTAAACACCATTCCATGACGAGATTTAGCGAAGATGAAGGAGAGAAAAACCTATTTTTTGTTGCCGTTCCCATGTGTCGCTGCGACACATTACCGAACATGTTATTTGTGCGCACTACGCGCTATGTAGCTTTCAGGGAACAGTTTGCAACTTGGACTTGTACATTTTTTATAGGGAAAGAAACACTGAAATGATTGGTTAATAGTGTTTAAATCGATATTAACAGAAGTGAGGCGATTTCCAATCTCTAGCCCTTTACGCGTATATAGCAAATCTTTAATTGATCTAATAAACTCTCACATTTTGTTTATAAGTACAAAGAAAGAGAAATCTTGATAAGCTTGAGAAACCAAGTGATCTTCCTTCCCATTCGTATCTTACGTCTCTGGATGCTCAATCTTCCTCATGAAACTCGTCGAACACATTTTTTCCACTATTCCTCTGTTCCCGAGGACCCATTTCGTGAAGCCAAAACAATCATAGTACTCAAACTGTGAAAAAGTACACACCAAACAAACAAGTGCAAGAAACATCAAAAGGTAAAGTAATGTGTTTAGGCAGTAATTAATTATTTTCATTTTTAAATTATAATGGTAAAAAATAATTAAAAATTGAAAATATTTTTTATCATATCCACAACAATAAACCAATTAAATAAATTATTAAGAAGCGTTGATTGGATGATAAAAGTTCAACGATCTTCTAAAAACTCTTGCCACTATAACACTCATATGTTTGAAATAGTTAAATAGAGTTGATTTACTTTCATGAGATATTTCCCTTTTTTGAAACAAAAAAATATTACAAAATCATATAGGTTAACGAAATGAAGATCATTCTTTAAAAAGAAAAATGATTTCACAAATTCCATCAAGGAAAATTATGTTGTTTTAGTTAAATTCAATTTTTTTTAAATGGGCTCCGTGCATAACATCTTAACATAATATAAAAGGAAAAAAAGGATAGCTAGTGCAAGATGAAGAGACACAGTGCGACTCAAAGCATACCATCTCAACATAATATAAAAGGGAAAAAAGAGGATAGTTAGATCAAGCTGAAGAGACGAGGCAAAAGGTGCCACACATAATCTTGACTCAGTCTTGATTCTAAATGCTACAGATTGCTACGAACTCCTGGATGATGGCATGGACCTTGGTCTTCAGTGATGACTATATAAACACACAACACTGCAAGCACTGAATAATGAATAAATGAATGCAAGTAAACCCGAAAAAGATGATATCACAAGAGTTTGGATAGATTTTGACATGACAAGAGTTTCGAATTAAAAGGAACAGCATAGTTTTCATGATTTACCTCAGCAAACGACATACTAGGATGAAAAATAAGACCATCTTTTAAAAGTGGCGAGAGACCATCTTTTCCACGACTGGAAAATTCCTCATCAGCTCATAAGTTTGAGGAACGTATCCGAGGAAATGGATTGGTGCTTCGCTGCCTTTAACCTCTCCAGCTTGATTGATGCTTAAGCGCACAGACGTTCCACTGGACTCGTACCACCATCTCCAAGTTTATCTTCAATCCACAAGAAATTCAGTCTTCCATTGAACTCTGAGAGCTTCATTGTGCTCAGATTGCTCGATCTTAAAGTCGCACTCAATCCAGAAATTTTCCTCCATAAGCGCCGTGATTCGTCGAAATACATCATTCCCATATGACAATTGTACGAACAATGTATGATTGCTTGTCCAAAGTGTGGAGAGTTGTGGAGTCAATATGTAGGGAGCATCCTTACATCTCAAGGTAAAGACACTGAAAGTGTAGTTTTAATAAAGCTATGAACATGTTTGAACTGGCACAACACGCTCAAGAGCGTTTAAACCAGAAGAAGAAGCATATAGGCAAAATTCTTTGCCGAGCAAGTGATGGTGGAGTTAATGCCTTGGAACTCATGGATGTTGCTCGCAAAGCAGGGTATGAATATGACTCAGCAACCGGCAAATGGTAATTACCATCGAAAAAGATGTTCAATGACTTATATTCGTCATCCATCTCAACTCAAGTTTCCGTTTCTATAGGTACATGGTGGTTCCTCCTCTGAAGTCTTCTGATGATTATGTCCATGTCCATGTCCAGAAGAAGATGACTGGTGATCCTGATGGAGAAGGTAAACAAGTAGCAGCTGATGATCATTTCCTTAACCGGTCTTCAGACTATGCCCGTGACGACAGTGGGTGTGTCCTCTCTCTCACAATCTCTCTCTGCCACTATAACACTCATATGTTTGAAATAGTTAAATAGAGTTGATTTACTTTTATGAGATATTTCCCTTTTTCGAAAAAAATATATATTACAAAATCATATAAATAATGGTTTGATTGATAATAATCCATAGAACAATAGTACATTAGCACAAACTATAGGTTAACGAAATGAAGATCAACCGGTT